AGTTAAAAATGATATGAAGTAACCCAAGAGTTCCTGTGTGTGTTGACAAAGTGACTTTTACCTTTTTTAGCTACAGGAGTGCTATTGGTAAAAGTAAAAATCAGAACTTCATCCTGCCAGGTGACTGAGTTACAATGCAATCTGCACTCACAACTTCACAGATGTCTATTGCTAAAGTAATGGGTTTAATCGGGAAAGAATCAATCAGTGATAAAAACTCTACAAATTCAGATGAGAATCTGTAGTAAGGTCTTCCTGAAGCTAAAGTCATTTTCCTGATGAAAATGGGACTCCTGGTTTCAGCGAAATGGTTTCCTTAACCTTAGGTTAATTTTTCTCCCTGCCTTCATAAAGGGTGCTATGACCTTTCACTGCACTAACTGTAAAAGGCAAGAAAAATAATCAGACATTTCAGGGACTGGTGGCCATTGTCTTTATTGATGCTGATTCTAAGACACCCAAAATACCACTATGACCAGTGAGTGAGGGTAGGGACTTACAGCAGTCAGATGATTAATGGAGTTTTCTTGGGGGTCTGTCTCAAATAGCATCCATTCAGTGGGTACCCAAGGCCAGCTCATTATTTCTCCAGTTATAGAATGCCCAATTATATTAGACATACTTAGAAGCTGATACAATTCTTATCTTGTTTCCTTTTCTTGTGGGATGAAAGCTATTGTTTGGAGTATATACAAGTTTAAGTCCTTTGCACTGCCTCATGTAAGGTGAACAATAACTCTAAGCATCTTGCATCCTTGCAGGTATTGAAAATGTTAGTTCCACTCTCAAAGACTTGGAAAAGTCCCCTTGTAAATGCACTAATGCTCTTCTTTGTCCTGTGCAGAAGACAGATGGATCTGTTTACTTACAGTTGTTTATGCTTAACTGGGTAGGAACTCCATTTGCTTGAGTACATTAACATGTTTCCTAGTACTCAGTGCTTAGGAATTAATTCTTCCCTATAGGCAATAATAAGTCTGTGAAAATGACCATTATTGGACATACAGAATGCCTTATTCAGTGACATGACATTATAAAAATTATTGCTTCTAAGCATAGAACAGACTTCACAGCAAAAGAAGCACAAAACTGAGACAGAAGTTGACAGTTGAGCTAAATTATTCGTTTGATTGGTGTAAGAGCCATTTAAGGAATTAAAGTATATTTCTGGATGTGTCTGGGTTGGTTGTGGGTGCATAACCTCATGTACTATATCACATCCCTGGCATTGTTTCCTCACTCTTCTTCCTGACACCATAAAATGAATCCTTTCACTTCTCATGCCCTTCTTCCTTACTGTTCTTGCCTTGGAGTCAGCTGATCATAGACTTAATTCCCTAAAACTATGCACTAAATTAAACCTTAAAGTGTGACTGCTAATATTTTATAAATGATGAGAAAACATAACAGTAAAAAGCCCATACTTGTGCATTTCACTAGTTTTATCATTTTGCCCACTATCATGAAGAACTTACTTTGGTAAGATGGCTTTTTGAATGCTACATTGCCACGTTGACTGTAAGATCTTGAGGGACTGAGGTAAAATTTTACAGAATGCTGTGAATCTTTTAAAACTATATCAAATATAGAACAGTGTTTCTCTCATAGTCCAGATCCATGGGCCAGGAATCAAGCAGAAGAAATTGCAGTGACACCATTTCCTATTGTCAGTGACTCACCTGAAAATATTTTCCTTCTTGTTCCTATGACTTTATTCTGTAGCAGTTTTAACTCTAGGGGGAGAAATGCTTTCACCAAGAGACACCATGATTCCATTAAACTGGAAGTTAAGATGTCAACTGGCTACTTTAGCCTCCTCATGACTCTCAGTCAACAAGATAAGAATGCAGTTAAAGTGTGACTAGGTGATTTTTCTTTACTACCAAAGAGAAACTGGATTAATATGCCATAACAAAAGAAAGGAAGAACATGTCTGGAATACAGGGGATTCTTTAGAGTATGTCTTACTTAACCCTCTCTGTGATTTATGTCAATTGAAAACTACAGCAATCCAATTCAAGCAGAACTACTAATGATCTAAACCAATCAATAATGGGGCTCTCACATTATTACATGTAGAATCATGACCAACTTGAGTGCTTACTGAAGTCAAAGGGAATATAAAGTCAATAGTGAAAAAAGCAGATATTACTATCATCTATGATCACATGACAAAATGAGAATTATAATTGCCATAAGTATGCCTGCCAGTGAAGTCCATTTGTATATACGTGTCAACCTATATTTTTATTCCTATTTTATCCCCTTATAATATACTATAGGTGTATTTATTTTTATCATAATATTTAAGCATTGTTAATTGACCTCATGGTGTAATTTCAGTGGTGGAATATCAATAAGCATAATAAATATCACAAAAGGACTTTATCCTCTTCTTGGGAAGGAGTTACTATGTTTTTATTTGTGTACAGGATAGTTTATCACATAAGGTGAAATTATGACTCTTTGATTACTATAGTGTTTACTTGAGCATTAAGTATGACTTAAGAAAGTCTATATTAGTGCCAGATGGTTAAGTTGCGGGCTTATGGTGGTTACTTTATGCATAGAAGTAGCTGACTGCAGAGTGATCAGGGTAACAATATTAATCAGATCAGAATACATTAGTATTCACACTGTTCTTGGATGAGCTGAACATTTAAATTGGTAGATTTACTAAAGCACTTCTCATCTCCAGTGTGTGTGAGTATCATCAAGTCCATTGAGAATTTAAATAAAACTAAAAGGAAAGAGGAAAGAGAAACTTGTTCTTTTTTTCTGACCTGTTGAGTGGTGAGCTATTATCTCATCTTCTTCATTGTTCAGAGATGTACACCATTGACTTCTCTGCAGTCGGGACTTTGGATTTGGACTCAATAGCAACAATTTCCTGGACTCCAGCTTGTAATCAAGGATCTTCTTGGTGTCCATAAATATGTAAGCCAATTTCTTATTGCTTACAATATATGCAGAAATTGTTGACTTAAGAATGATCCATTTTGATAAAAATACTATAACAATTAAAAGAATGTTGAATAACAAGACCTCTGTTTTTCCCCTAACTACTGAATAGCTGAAGAAATTAAAATTCAAACACAACTAATTTTCAAAAGTGACTGTATTGAAGAAGAAAATGTCAAACAATTTTAAGCATTTTCTAGAAAAATTCAGGTAGCTGTTGAACTTAGTGTTTTATTGTTCAGAAAAATAGGGAAAAGAACACAAATACTTCTTAGATAATAACTATTGTAAATCTAGTAAGTTTTACTTTTTAAAAACAAGGGAATCTTTTGATTATGTAGGAGAATTATAAGAGAATGTTAATTATAAGAAAATATTAGTCATATTTGCAAAACAATTGGGCTTTTTGTAACTGCTAACCATTACCGTTTTTCGCATTCACGTGGCTGTATTACAGATGTCTACTACGTGAAAATCCATTGTGTAGTATATATTTGGAAACTGGTTAGATTCAGAACATTTCTTTCATTAGACTCTAATCACAGAATATTTTAATCATACTTAATAATTTCAATAACCATTTAGCTCTATTTCTCAGAAATAAACTTAAGCTTTATAGCATTCAGTAATGGTTATGTGGGAAATAAAAGTTGAAAGATAAATTTATTTAATTCTAGGTTTTTTATCATGAATTTTCCTGGAACAGATACTAAGGCAAAGAAATAATACCTGATCCAAGCTCAAACACTGAATGAAGACGAGGGAATGAAACAGATTGAGTCCTAATCTTATGCTATTAAAAGTCCTTTCTTGAGTGTCCCGTACATTATTGAAGAAAAAGAATACCAAGACAGTGACTGCTCCTAGTAAGAGATAGCTTACTAGGATATTCTTCTGATGGAAGAATATCCTCCAGAGACCCTGAAATTCATGCCACATTTGCATTTGCATTATGTGAAGATTTAGAGCAGAAGAATTTCGTGTTTCCATTTATGTAATCTGAGATAACAATGTTAACTGAATCTCATAATTTTGTGCCCATTAGACACTAAGCTAGAGGTTAAGAAAATGAAGTGGGAGAAGGGAGATCATAGAAGTAGACTTTCACATGGATGCATTCCCAACATGTGTGCGAGCAAGGCAGTGCTTCTGTCCTCTCTGAGTACATGCATTTAGATGAACTTGCTGCTGTCCAAGACAGACAACAAGGTGTGGTCTTCACAGACAAACAACAGCATAGATTCATGAGTTTGCCATGAAATACTTTTTCAATAACTCAGGATAACAATGTTCTTCTCTTAAATGACTGTACTATACCTGTGCTCTTTTAAGATAATGACTGAAAACTTAGTTCTGAATTCACTCACCTACAATATTTGAACAGCAATGGAATACCCATCTCTGACAAAACCAAACAAAAAAGGGGAATATAAATGGACCATTTTGTAGTGAAAAAAAAATATATCTGTATATACAAAATAGTTAGGATAAATAAACAGCTACTTTTGCTTAGTTCAATGAGAAGAAAGATTTGTATTAATAGTGTTTAGGCAAGATATTATGTCTTCATCTTGTACTATGAATAACTACTATGCAGACAATAATATGCGATGCATTATTATAACTGTACTGCTAACCTGTTTTGAAACTTTCATTGCTATTTCTTTCTCAATAAAATTAAATTATAAAAAAGAAAGTTTAGTTCTGACTAGACATTGATCACTTCTTTTGATTTCTCTGAACATATTTTATGCCATCCAAGTAATGCCTGTAATGGATATATATACAACACATTCTAACTCAGTGATTTACAAAACTGAATACTTCCAGCAGCATTTTAAAATAAAATATTGTATGAAAGCAATGTATGGACATTAATAGTATGATAAAAATCAGAAATATTAAGTTTTTAAAAAAGCAGAAAAAGTTTCTGTCTTCCGTTAATGCCAGTTGATTGTGGTAATTACAGACAAATGTTTTGTGTATATTTTTCTGGACTTCATGATGTACTGTATAGCCAACATTTTTTTTTTTTTTTTCCTTACAACCTCAAAATCCCATGTTTATTACAAAGGCAAATGGTGATTCTTATGGTGAGTTTATCGGTAGGATTTCTGGTAAAGAGCACGGGCACCAGGACCTCCAAACTTTTTGGATTCGCAGCGTCGAGGGTCAGCTACCAACAGGGTCCGGTCATACTGGATGAGAATATCTTTGATCTCTTTCTTGGAAGCCTCATCAACATATTTCTGGTAATAGGCCACCAGGGCTTTGGAGATGGACTGACGGATAGCATAAATCTGGGCAACATGACCACCACCCTTTACACGGACACGGATGTCAACACCAGCAAACCGCTCCTTGCCCAGAAGCAGAACAGCCTCCAGTAACTTATATTGCAGCGTGCGCGGCTCGATCATCTCCAGGGGGCGCCCGTTCACCTTGATGAGGCCATTGCCCCGCTTGCAGTGTGCCACCACTGTGGCTGTCTTCTTGCGACCGAAGACTTGCACGGACTGCAGCGGACCCTTGGACGGCATGGTTTCTAGCGCAGAGTCTGGAGCTCCTCACCGCGCGGCGCCGCAACCGGAAAAGGGAAGTTTGGGGCCACCCAGGCCGCTTTTCAGGGTCTGCGCATGCGTCTTGAGCGCCACAGCGCGACAGGAGCGAGCTTTACGGTTCACCTTGTAGCTAGGGCGGGGCCACTTCCACCACAATTTCTTTCCTTTCATTTTCCTCTCCGGAACCCTGGTCTCCCAGAATCCTTCACCCAGAGATCTTCATCAAATCTCTCTTCAGAGCCCTCAATCTGACTCCTAATTTTCTCCGTGAACCCCCCTGCCCTCAGAGCCCCTTTCCGGAATCAACATTTTTTGTATATTACACTGAAATTTGGGTAATTTGCTTGGGTTACTTTTGGCAGGGGAGGAGGACTAGGTGTGCTTACGTGTGTGTAGATTTTGCTTTCTACCTTATTTCAAAGTATTTTTGCACACATATTAGTGTATGTTTGCAAATAAATATACATTTTCTTTAAAAATTATTTTGTTTTACATTTCTTTCTGGTTTATTTCCTTAAATATTGCATGGGTAGACTTTATTTTGGGGATCCTCTATATGGTATCAGTGTACAAAATCTTTTAGTTCAAATTGCAGTAAATTTAATTTCCTATAAAATATCATTATATAATTAAAGAGCCACACATGTATTTACTTCCCACTATAGACACTAATCATAGGAAGTACATAGGAGTGGCAGTTTACAATGGATTTTCCAAGAGGACTTGAAAGAATAGCCACCTGATCTGAAATCTAGAGGTCTCAGGTTCATAACTTTGTCATTATATTCTTTTTGTGAGAATAAGCTAGGAGTGTTTCATTATAAAAGTATTACAATATGTGATTATTAAAATTTTACAACTGTATGATTCTGTTTCACATTGTTGGTCAATAATTTCATCTGTTTTTAATTATTTTTTAATGTATTTAGTACAGGGTCTACAAGGTCTCACTATGTAGATTGGATTTGTAGTGATCATCCTGTTTTCAGTCTCCCAAGTGCTGGGATTATAGGAGCACACCACCACACCCAGTCTCAATCACCACCTCAGTGCTCCTCATGGGCAGGGCTGGCATGGCAAGCTGAGCAATTGAACTCCGGCCACTGCACTCTACCTAAGTAGGCTCCTTAGTTCACTGAGCAATTTGGCTGGCCCCAATTTCATCTGTTTTTAAAGTAATTCTTTCTTTTTTATTTTTATTTTTTTCACAGTTTTATTGATAAACAGCAATGAGACAGTTTCAAATCAAATCGGAAGTACAGTTTCAACAAATAATACACTGCATATATTCTTCTTAGTGGTTAATTGCTGTACAAGATGCGGACTTGTGATCCTATTTACAAACACCATTTGAACAAATCATTCTATTCATTAAGAGAATGCAACTATATATCTATCCTAACCACTTTGAATACACAGATATAAAATGGACATTCATTGGTATACCCCATTTTTTCTAAGTTCCTAAAGTTAATTCTTTCAAAGATGGGTTTCTATATGGATCTATTGCACATGGTTTTCTGTACTCAGATACCTTAATTATTAAGACAAGTATAATTTTACTTTTATAAATATGCAAAGTAAATATGCAAACTTTATATATATATACACACACACATATGTACATATAATAGAGATTCAGATTCATTAGCTTTAATTTCAAAATGCGCTTATATTTCTAAAGTAACATAGGCCATTGATTCATTAGAATATATGCTATACAAATTTAACTCTTCCTGGAAATAGTGTTATCAAACCAAATTAAAAATTATTATTTAATCTTAGCATAACCAGAAATTGAGTTGCCTCTGTAGGCTGTTTTGCTTACAGCATAATGGCTGTGGCTTCATGAAATCTATAAATTTTATTCAGGGTCTCTCTTGAACATCAAAACCCGTCTTCCTTGAATTCTGGTAGCTTATTGAAATAAAAAAAATTCTATATCATATAACTGATGCTAAATAATTCAGTATTATTCAATACCCCATTCTTAAACTATATGCCACAAATTTTTGAGTGAAGGAAACATTAAGATACAGAAAGACAAACTAGCAAGGCTTTACAAGTTGTAAAGGGAATTTCTCGTTATTATTTCAAAGTATTCCAGAAACTAGATGAATTCTTTAAAAATAAAATGTGCATTTGGAATCCTTGAGGATCTCCACTTCAATACAGTGAGACAACTTCATCCACTACTGTTATTACTTATCCAGATATGGACTCTGCTAACTAGAGAGTCCCAATTATTGAGAATCTCTGCTCTACATTTATTCTCAGTATCATGCCCACTGCTCACAGGTTGGAATACATGATGAATTAGCAGAGACATAGAGTGTGAAAAAAATGATGAATCCAATACAATGGGAAAGATGTTAGAATTGTTTAATCACAACAGCCTTATATTTTAAACAAAATTAAAATATTCTACCAAAATCAAATTAAACTAGTTGTATGTGCAAGGCCCTTTAATAAGCAACATATTAGGGAAGAAAAGTGAGTAACATGTTAGACAGTTACAAAAGAGATCACAATATGGTGAGTTGAAACAAAGCTTGCATTGACAGAAGTTGGGAGCAGCATTTTTTAAATTCTCCATATAAAAGACTTATAGAAATAATTTGTATCAGAGGCAAGGGAAGACTCAGGATGTCATATTTTGTAAGATGCCTGTAATTTAAGACAAGGTATGAGAAATTGTGTTTTCAATAACCCCTAGAGGAAGTGGGACTCAAACATCCCTTGTGTTTAGGTTACTGCATGTTTTTCTCTATTTCTTTTGTAGCATAGCATCAGTAGGAATGCTATATCTGTACATTATTAAGCTGAATGAAAACTGTCTTTAAAACTCATCCATCTCAGTTGTATCCTGCTCTTCAAATGAGGAAAATGAGATGATCACTGAGGATGATTATTTTATATCTGGCAGCCTCATCCTAATATTAACTTGAATGGAGTATGACTTTATATGTTTATTGTAATTCTTTGCCAGAAGGATTTTAAAATTTTATTCTCTGTAAAGGATATTACAAAGATATTAAATAATATTAAACTTTATTTATCACTCATGGTCACGATTTTATGTACTTATAAAACATGCAGGTATTGCCATTTGGAATTTATACTATCATTACTTTGTCACATACCCTCATCACTCCAAATATGGATTCATTTAAAGATAAAAGGAGAGTACATCTATGTCCACCTACACAAGTCTAAATCTAAAACTGTGTCTGTATCTATGCCCAAATCTATTCTATTATGTAAAGCTCATTGTGTACCAATGCATACATACATGTATATATGTAAAGATTACGTATGATCACATGCATATACAAAAAGAGGCTTTATATGTGTATATCTAGATACATGTAATGAAGAAGTGCTTAAGAGCTTTCAAGGCAGGAAGAACTTGTATGTATGTGATTTGAAACACAGACAATGCAGTCAGAGTGAAAATGCCCCTTCCGGTGGCTTCTCTCTTAAACCACTCTGCAGTCTGTTGTTTGGAAATGAAAAGCTGTGCAAAGACTCATGTGGATTGGAGAATATTATTGTGCTTCAAGTTCACCAATAAAAGTATGCTAAATATCACAGATTTTCATTTAAGATTCTAATGTCTCTTCCCCAAAGACAAAGACAAATATGGGCTTGAAATTGACCTGACACAATAGCTGAAATCAAGAACAAAACCAGTCTAAATTCTAGTAAGATTGTTATTATTGTTGTTGAACTTGATGCAGGGTCTGGCTATGTAGTTGGAACTCAGTGATCCTCCTGTCTCTGCCTCCCCAGCACTGGGATTACAGGCATGCACCACCACGCCCAGTTTCAGAGCCTGCATGGCATGAGTTAGGTTCTGGGGCCAGCATGGCATGCAGAACCAGGGATTGAACTTGGGTCCTTGCACTTGCCAAGGAGGCACTTAGATCACCAAGCTATCTCCCCAGCCCAAGCTTCTTATTATTTCTGTTGCCTACCAGATCACAAGTAAAAAAAAATCTCTAGGGAAAAACTAAATTCATGTGTAGTGTCTCTGTTTTCTTATTTACTGTCTGTTTTCAATTTTTAAAAAAGCAAGTATACAAGAAAACAAAGCTTAATTTAATGACACATCAAAGAAATAGCAGAAATACACTAAAAGATGAAGACTTTTTGCAAAAGTATACATAATCTTTAAAATAAGTATGGTTAATACAGATGTTCCTCACTTAACAACCTATTTAATGACTGTTCAGGTTTAGGATCAAGGACTGCCGTTTCCACTTATGACCTGCTGCTCAGACTTACAATCAGTCATTTTTTATGCAGTCCTATGCATCTTGTTCATAGAACCTCAGTATCTTTATTTGTACAGTATTCCTTATTTATACAATACTATAATTTATGGTAATTGTAATGTGCGCTACACTACTGCAGTTTTATTTTTGTTATACATTTCAGTACTATGTATAAGAGTGATGCAAATAAAAGCAAACTCATTTAGTTGGAGTTTCCTCTGACCACTTCTTTGCTCTGAACATTGTAATGCATATACTATACAATCTTCCTTTACTGACCAATCCATTTAACCTACTCACAAAACTAGCACAATGTGGGCATCAATCTAAGTATGTCTGTATATTTATTAAAGAATTAATGACATGATAGAGAACCTTGGCACAACATAGAAACTGTACACATAGTCAAATAAATACTGTGAGATGAAAGAACCACAAATGCTTTCTCCTGCCAGGATGATTGATAACTAAAACAAATTAGCACAAACTGGGGTTAAAGGCAGGAACACTAAGAAGCCCATTTGTCTAGTGCCTGGCTCACAGTGTTCAAGATCAAGTCAAACCAAAGTAGCAAATGCCTTTGCCATTCAGCAAAGAACTAAGCACCAGCCAACATGAGATTACCTTGGGGAGGGACATGTGGAGTGGGATGCTATACATGATTGAAATTTGCACACACCTTTGCAAGTTGAGGTCCTGAGGGAGCCCACAGAAAATCCTCCAGCACTTGAAAATTGCGAGAGAAAGCAGAGCTTGGAAAGTTGA